CCCGAAGGAACGACGAACCGCCACCTCAACCCTAGTTCTACTTCTGCTCATACAATTCATATGAATGATTAAGCATAAAGTTAGACATGTTAAGATCATAACACACAAACTATATGCTAGTTCATACATCATGATTATAACATGAAAAATATACTCTAGTTCATATGCACTACTATATAAATGATATGAGAACTTGAATATGGAAGAACTCTTCATAGTATTATTCATACCAAAGTTGCTCTTCTTCTAAGGAGACAAGCTCTCCAAGTAGCTTTGCTAGCTCCAAATGATACTAAGAACTAAAGCTAAAAGAGTACAAGAGAAGGGTTGTGAGGTGTAGCTCCAAATGATGTGTGTCTTGCATATGAGCTCTAGCCCTTCTTATATAGTGAAGCATGGTCGGTTTGCGCTTGGAAAATTAGGAAACACCCAGGAACCGCCTATGCATGGCGGCATGCAACCACCGTAGAAGAGTGGGGCTGAGCAGAGACGATGGGGGTGCGGCCGCACCCTGGTGGGCCTACCTCACGACTGCCTTCGCCTGGTCGGTTCCTGGATGGGCCTAGACCCTGCCCATGGTGGTATTCTGCCCAGGTAAATTGTGTAGGTGGGCTTCTCTTCTTATTTTCCTTTGCGCATTTCTGCTTTACGCTTTCTATTTGCACCTTTTGGTATGTTTTCCACTTGTATTCGAATATGTGACCTGCAAAACATGTTTTCTCAAATACAAGTGGAACTAGGTCAATAGTAAAGGCATATGTGTCAAAAGTATGTCTATTTCTCCTGTTTTGGACTATAATTGGCCGTCAGAAATGGTCGTTAGTGACCGTCAACAACACGCCAGTAGGCATCACACACCTAACCCGCAATCAGGTGCCGCACAACCAACACAAGACAAGGATCCACAAGCAACGCACAATCCACTAGAGTACCTTTTGGCTCTCCACTAGGGAAAGGTCAAGAACCCTCACAATCATCACCACGATCGGAGCCGGAGACAATCACCTTCCTCCGCTCAATGATCCTTGCTTCACCGAGCCGTCTAGGTGGCGCAACCTCCAAGAGTAACAAGCGAAATCTAGAGTGAAACACAATCACCAAGTGCCTCTAGATGCAATCACTCAAAGCAATGCACTTGGATGCTCTCTAATCTCACCAAATAATGAATCAATCAAGTTGGATGAGTGAGAGAGGAATGGCTAGGCTCACTTGGGTGTATTCTCAATAGAAATTGCCAAGAGAGTGAGCCATGGTCGGTTACCACATTTATATAGGGAGCCCCAACGAATAGAGCAGTTGGCCCCCTCACTACACTAGTTTCGAGGCGACTAGATGCACCAGCCCCAGCATTCGGTCGCTGCCAGCCGTCCACGTGTCCCCCGTGTTCAACGTCGATCGCCCGATCTCAATGGTCGACTCCAGCGCCCGCGTGGTTAAGTCAAGACTGAACACAACAGCATGAGACCGAACACACCTCCGCGGTGTCTGATCATGCGCGTGCCCGAGCCAAGAAGCCAGCGACCTGACGCGTTGAGGAGATGACCAGACGCTCCACAACGTGGAGTCCGGTCACTTCCAATAAGTATCCAGAGCCGCATTTCTGTGACCGGACATGTCCGCTTTGGTATGACCAGACGCACGACGGCGGCCGATCCTCTTAGTCTCCACTCTGCGCGCCAACACTACTTGTGTCAGCGTACGTCACAGGTGACCGGACGAACCCCCTGGACGCTCGGTCCCTCTCTCTCATCAGTGTTCGGTCAAGGGACCCGAAGCCATGCCCTTCTGCACCACTGATCGAATGAACCTGCCCAAGTCTGATCACTGCTGAGGCAGCGTCTGGTCACCTCGGGAGGGCTCCCCCTCAACTCTAACTTCTCCACCCTTGCTCAAATGTGCTAACCACCAAGTATATCACCTTGTGCACGTGTGTTAGCAGCTTTGCACAAACATTTTCAAGGGTGTTAGCACTCACTAGAATCTAAATGCATATGAAATGAGTTAGAACATCTAGTGGCACTTTGATAACTGTATTTCACGACGAGTTTCACCCCTCTTAATAGTACGGCTATCTATCCTAAATGTGATCACAATCGCTAAGTGTCTTGATCACTGAAACAAAATGACCCTATGGATATCACCTTTGCCTTGAGTCCATTTTGTTTTTCTCTTTCTTCTTTTCCAAGCCCGAGCACTTGATCATCTCCATGGCCATCACCATCATCATGATCATCATCATTTGCTCCACCACTTGGAATGTGCTACCCTATCTCATGTTCACTTAGAGCAATAGGTTAGCACTTAGGGTTTCATCAATTCACCAAAATCAAACTAGAGCTTTCACACATGCATGTGGCCAGTTTTTCAAAACAATGTATGATAAACATGCTTGATGTGTATGATAAATAGGCTTGATGTTCATTATTCGAGCATATAATCAGACATCAAATCATGGATACTGATATATGAGGGAACAAGACAAGAAACCAAAGTCATTTCCCTAATAATAATGCTAATAGTTTGTGGTACAACGCAAATTTGACAACTTGTGAGTAACTACCCAATACCCAAATGTTATCAATTATTATCAGAACTATACATCCCAGACATTTTATTACAATACAAATAAATGGAGCACCCTAATTAACATTGTTTTTGATGTTGTAGGAAAAGCATAACTCATTCTTACGGAGTCATCTCGGCAATGTCAGTGTGTGGCCAGCTAGTAATTGTGTTTGTTGCACCAACCAGCACGGAGGGCACAACAGTTAACAAAAAAGTGTTCAATACACAATATAATTGAAATATGTTAGCTAAGCTACCAAACATTTTTTGTGCCCATGGAATGAAGTATGTTAAAACAATGTTTTGAGTCTAGCATGGCACATCAATGATCAATAACACGTACTAATCATAGTGCACCGCATAATTTATTGGATGAAATCACCATATATATAAGGCAAAGCATGCTCCTATCCTTGAATTATGATAAATCATAAATTATTGTCTCTCTGAGTTATGACAACCTGTAGATTCATATCTATGACTTAGGATAAATAAAATCTACAATAATCAATTAGCATGATATTGCACAGGTAATGTATTGTTATCCAAATATGACATGAATAACAAAAGTATTTGTTTTGTACTATTATAATAAATAAAAGTGACTCATGAAACCATAACACTGTGAACCTACACCTACCTGAATCTCGATGAATCAACCAAAATTATGGAAGGTGGTAATAGAGACCTTCAGAAATCATGGATACAATTTATGTTCCCCATGCAATATGGACTAATCAGACATGGAATTAACCTTTAGAAAAAATGGATGTACAATGAAGCAATAATCTAAATCCAAACCACATTGGTTCTAAATTGAATATGGGAGGCAGAATTGTCCTATTGATCCTTAGAATTGCATGGTTGCTCACCTCAAGGACATGATAAAAACAAAGATTCAGAATATGGTTCTAGTCTCAAATCCTAGCAACTAATCACACAAAAGAAATTGTTGCTTGTATACCAAATTTGGTATGGAAGCATGCTTACCAGACTAACCTAGAGATCCCTTCATGAAGGCAAATGATGCTAGATAGACATGAGTTGAGCAGCTGTGGACCGGGGAGCCACACCACCATTCCATTCTTATGGTCATGACACAAGAGACACTATGCAATTCTAGGCTGTGCTCCATGAGGAGGGAAGGGCCACCATTGTTGGGAGAAGGGAGGAGGTGAACGTGTTATGTCGGTATCTAAAGCAAGTATGCCGCCACACCCCTTGGAGCCTCCTTGTGTTGTCGTCCTGATCGCCGGCTGTCGTGTCACTGTGTTAGATCTGACGAGCCATCATGTCGGTCTACACTAATCTAGACTGCATGGCGGGTTCACACAAGTGCTTGCAGCTATGACACCTTGTCCTAGGTGTGGACGAATAGCACTAGTGGGGATGGATGATGGAACTAGAACGTTGCATATGGAGAACTGTGGTATCTCAAACGGTGAAGAAGAGCAAGGGGTGTAGAGAGTTGTTGGGGATAGCCGCCCCTTGCTCTTCTTCATCATTTATCAAATCGAGTAGGGTGTGGAAGTGGCACCACATGTTGGTGGATGGACAGGGTCAGGCTCTCACTCAGTGGCGGTGGCGGCGATGGAAATGGAGATGGCTCCGTAGGCATGTCACACCATGTCCACAACAACCCCCCTCCCTTCCGAGGTTGGTGCCACACACTCGCCCTCTTTCCCACCGTGCAGGGGTGACGGTAATAGATCCATCGCGACCTGATCTAGCAGTCAACATGATATCACTATAGGGACGAATATAGCATATGGGCCTCATGTAGCTCATTATTTTTTCCCAGCCAAAAACTCCTCAAACAATGATCATTTGAAATAATCTATAAAAACAAGCTCAATACTCTTCTCATTTTAGTAGTTTAGTGCGATTTATTGTCATACCATTTGATCATATTGTTTCCTTTAATACACATCTAAAGCCTTTGGTTATTTTTGCAAATATATGCTTCAAGGGTGACTCTTCTAGTGTCTCTTTTATACCTGCAGCCAAGGGATCCAAAGGAGGCCGACATCATCTCCTTCAGCATGCAAGTGAATTCGAAATTAGAGAATGCTCTAGGGCTTAAGGACCAACAATACACAAATCAGATTCCTTTAGAAACTTGCCTGGTCATGAAGCACCACCATGCAGTGACCAGGGATGGATATGGGCCTCAAAAAAATCCGATTATCCCTATTAAATTTTTCGGGCCAATTCAATCTGGCCTAGGTGTGGCCACTGGCCAAGTACAGCCCAACAAATGTCAAACAGCCTGCACCCGCTCGTCTCTCACTCTCCTCGTCCTCTCTTCTCGCTCTCGTCCCTGGCAAACGTTGGCGGCGTTTAAATCGACAAGCGACGCGGACAAATCTACTATGGGCACGGCTAATAAATCGACCGGTGGCCACTCGATTGGCAAGCAGCAGTAGCACGCTAGCATGGCCAAATCAAGCAATGGGGCAGCGCCAGCGCGGCTGCTGGACGCCTGGACTACGGAGGCTGGCCATGGCCCACGGCTTGAGGAGAGCACAACAGTCAGCAGTCTAGCTCTAGCCTTCCATGCTTGCAGCAGGTATAAGTTTAAGAGCCCTTTTACAATGGTTGAAAATGCTTCCTAACGCTTGCTAACGCTTCCTCATGCCTACCCAAAATAGCTATTTTTATTGATTTTATTCGTTCAAGGGCATTATAGTCATTTCGCAAAGCCAACTCACCACCCCCTCCGGCCCACCTCCCAGCCCGCCCACGCACCCACGAGAAGGGAAACGTCGCCGGCCTGCCCGACATCCGCCTCCCCACAGCACCGGCGCCCATCCCTCGCGCTAGCCCTAGCCGTCACCGGCTTGCATTCGCCCTCGCGCGGCACCGTCGTCGCCGGCCTACCCTCGCCTGTGCCTAGCGCCGTCGCTCCTCCCTCCTCCCTGGCTCCGCCGCCTGACACGAGCGGCACCTCCGCCGACCTCCGTCGCCGCGGCCGGCGGTGTCCTCCGCATCAGGACCCCCGCCTCCACCGACACTGCCCTATCGCCTCCTCCCATCCAGGTATAATCTATGCATTTCCCCATACGCCATAGCACGTCCATACACGCTGCTTGCGTTGTTGCCCATCTCTAACAAGATCGAAATTTAGTCAGCTGCTGCCTCAACTATGGTAATGTCACTGTCTTATGGAGGCAATTTGTTTTAGGGTTATGGATCTAGAGGATTCTTGTTCTAATTGGAATTAGAAACTCGTGTATCTGAAAATGTTTGATTTCTGTTTAGTTAATTTCCTAGATCTTTAATCTGTATCCTTTTAATTGCCCAATGCTTCCTTATTTTAGGCAAATAGTTAATTGTAGTGAACATCAGACTGAGGTATACTACAATTATTATGAATTCTTTTTACTACTTAGTTATTATCCAATTTGTTTTAGGTTGTCATGCCTGTTGGTTAAATTGATTGCAGCTAGCAGATGGAGTACCTAGTTTTCTGAAAAATTAATCGCTTGCAGTGGGGAGGATTACTAAAGTTGCTATCTTTAGTTAGGATTTTTGGGAAAAATATACATATGAGTGCCTCTAAATTATATAGTGTTAAAAAGCTGAAAACTGGTTCTTAGTTCATAGTTCAGTGACTGTTTAAACTGCAACAAAAAAAATTTAGAATTTATCCTGGTTTAGAACTTGCTTGATGTTCAGAGTTAAACGTGAATGTACACTGGATTTTGGTTGCCAATGTTATTTTTCATATAGTCGTATGGATTTGTTGCTTTAAATGTTGAAAGTGAAAAAACAGTGCTGCTTGATAGGTTGCATAATACATGTTCTTATGGAGTGTTAATTATTTTTCTTTTACTGCTAAAAGTCGATCCAATTTTTTTTTTTCCTGCTCAACGTAATAATGCCTCAGTTTCATTAGTGTTTTTTCTTGTTCAGAGCAGTATGGGGAAGGAAAAAACAGAGAGTATTGTCACCAGACACCTTTGGGTGATAATCTGATATACAAAAGGTGAGGTCATTATTATCGGGTGGTATATGCAGAATATGAGATAGGACCCTACACAATTGTGATTTAGTATTGTGACACATTGCAAATTCATTATCAGTTTTTCTTAAAAAAATGCAAAGCATACTATGATACTAATACTAACATTTGAAAAGTCTGAGTTGGTGGTGCTTTATTTCTATAGTATTCATGCTTCGACTTAACATTATCAGTTTTTCATAGAATTCATGCTTCGACTTGACTTGATTTTTTTTTTTCATTTCAGAACTAATATAGGTGGTATGGCAAATTAGTGTAGCAATAGTCTGTGATCATGTGTGTGTCACCAGTGAATCACGGGCTAGACGACTCTACGCGTCCTTTTGTCGTCTCCCGACTGATCGTTCTCCATCACCTGCTCGCCGCCGTGAAGCCACAGTCGGTCTCCATCATCTGTCACCGGCTTTCATTTGCCTCTCCACACTTCACTGCAGAGGTTTTCAAGTTCTCGCTGAGGTTGTTGATCTAGTTTCTTCAGTTACCTTGCGTCGTAATAATGTAATGCAGAAAACAAGGTGTGACCTCTGTGAGAGGCTTGTGACAAAGAGGTCACCTTGGGGTTCTTGTAGAATTGTACGCACTGGAGATTTACCAGTTGCTGGTGTTCTCCCATGCTCCCATGTCTACCATGCTGAGTGTTTAGAGTGGACCACTCCCAAGGGGCAGAAGCATGACCCTCCTTGCCCTGTGTGCGAGAAGCTGGCTGGTAAAGATACCGAGCAGTGGTCAATTTGCAGGTTAAAAAATGGATTCTGAAGATAACGTTCACTAGGGGAAGGGCCTTCTCGAGTTTGGAGCTGTGCTCATGCTGGAGATTGTATTGCTGGGGCTGTCCAGATGCCAAGATCAAATAGCATTGCGCTATTGACTCGGAGTGGTCACAAGAGGCATGCATCTTCGAAGGGAGAGCCCAGCAAAGACTGGGCTGAAACATCAAAAAATACTTGCATGTAACTTCCTAATGCACTCTGTAGGTTATATTCATGACCTCGCATTGTTATAGTTGCAAGGTTATGTATGATTGTCCCTACAGCCCTACGGCCCTACTTTGTATGATTGTAACGTTGTTAATGTTGAGACAAGATTTGACACTAGAATGAGACATCGATAAGCAGAATCTGTTGGCTGTAACATTGAACTTGGTCGCTACTCTGTATGATCTGTAAACCAAAACACAAATTGGATCATGCTAGAAAAGCAATTTTCCAGGTGCTCGTGAAACCTTTCCCAGGAGGTGTTGACATTGCTTTGGTTGGCTCTGAATGGAATCTCGAGTTTTTTAAAGTGTGAACTCCAGTTTTTCTTATTTTTAAGTTCTGGCTTTTTATTAGCAATTAGTAGTGTAACTCAAAACAATTAGCATGGATTACGGATGAGGAAAAGATTGTGGAGGGTGAAAAATAAATACAATACATAGAATTTGGATATGAATGGTGATAGCCTCACTAGCGGCAGATATAAAAAAATTAAATTTTAAAATAAATGGTGGCAAAAAAATTTGTTGCCACGGGCCAGCGTCAGCTAGGTCGGGCTCGACCACGGAGGGAGCCCAACCAGGCCGCGCCAGCCCGATTGGCCCAAGTGACGAGTGAGAGTACGTACTGTATAGTTTAGGAGTTCAATCCCTGCTTCTTCTCCTGTTCTTTTAAGCTGCGTTCTTCGTTTCTCAGCGAGCGAGGTGGGACTAAACCGGGTGCAGATGGCTGACTGTCGTATTCACGTAGCTTAGTTGGGCCACGACCTCGTGATGGGCAGGCCCAGCCGCCGCCCGCTCCCCCTCCTCGATTCATCGCATGCGCGCGCAGGCCGATAGGCCCAGCAACCGTGGTCGGGCGCACGCGTCAGTGACCCGGTCCCTTCCCCGCTGCGCCGCATCGATCGGGCGAATCCACCGCCGACCGATTCCCGCGCACGCGCCCCCCCGAGGTTCCCCGCGCCCGTGCATATGAAGATTAGGCCCAGAGCACCGCGCCGCACCCTTTGAACCCTACAGGAGCCGCCCCAAGCCCTAGCCCTAGAACGCGCACCGCCATAGTCGCCACCCGGAGCTCTACCCGCCGCCGCCGCTGATCTCCGCCTTCACCTCGTCACCTGCGTCTAGAACCCTCCACGACCTTCGCAGCGAGGTGAGCAATCCGTCGGTGCCATTCGTGTATCTCTTATGTAGGTATTGTTGGTTTGGTTGATGGAAATCGACGAGGATTTCAGTTGCAAATGCAGTTGTTCTTCACTGTTTCTTTCAATTTAAGTATTCAAAATTGCATACACTGCAGAGGCAGGAGCAAACGTAAACTCATTTCAGATAAACACATACCATACTACTCTAATCCAAAGTCTACTGCGAAAACTACTCACACAATTGGTAGACGGCCACACTTATTGGTAGATGGAATATATATTCCTTTCTAGCAGCGTTGTTTTACCAGACAATGCTAGTACTGGTTTTCTACTACCTGTAATCAAATGAGCACACCCTGAAAAGGGATTTATCTGCTAAATCACCTATAAATAAAAAAGCCTCTAGTAACATAACATCAAAAAATCAAAAACTACTATCAGAAATATTTTGAGACAAGCTTCTTCAAATGTGCCCCAGTGATTTCTTTATTTTTCATAGTTAACAAGTTCGTTGTTTCTTCATATTCAATGCCACATCATTAGCATTCAATCATAGAATTTTTGCAAAGCCTAAATGCATATCCCATAGAAGATCTAAAAGATTTAGAAATAAACACCACAACCACATTGCTAAATAAACACCACAACCATCTCCTCCCCCTCTTCCAGGGACCTCCGAACTCGTTGCATGTCGTTGCTACGATTCATGACACCTAGGAATTTAAAAACAAGAATAAGTGGCATGCTATATTGAAACCCTTTTAAAACTACATCCAGTAGACTAAAAATCCATTGGAAGTTCTAATTTTCTGTTGGTAAGGATGCAAGTGGGGCGGCGGTCCAGGCACCTCTAAATTATTTATAAAATCCATTGCAAGTAGACTTTGGATTAGAGTAGTATGGTATGTGTTTATCTGAAATGAGTTTCGGTTTGCTCGTGCCTCTGCAGTGTATGGAATTCTGAATACTTAAATTGAAAGCAGCAGTGAAGAACAACTGCATTTGCAACTGAAAACCTTGTTGATTTCCATCAACCAAACCAACAATACCTACATAAGAAATACACGAATGGCACCGACGAATTGCTCACCTCGCTGCGAAGGTCGTGGAGGGTTCTAGACGCCGGTGACGCGGTGAAGGCGGAGATCAGCCGCGGCGGTGGGTAGAGCTCCGGGCGGTGGGTTTAGCGGTGCGTGGGCTAGGGCTAGGGCTCGGGGCAGATCCTGTAGGGTTCAAAGGGGGTGGCGCGGTGCTCTGGGCCTACTCTTTATATGCACGGGCGCGGGGAACCTCGGGGGGCGCGTGCGAGGGAATCAGGCGGCGGTGGATTCGCCCGGTCGATGCGGCGCAGCAGGGAAGAAGGGACCGGGTCGGGGGGGGCGGTCGCTCGGCCGCGGTTGCTGGGCCTAGCGGCCTGCGTGCACGCGATGAAGCGAGGAGGGGGAGAGGGCGGTGGCTGGGCCTACCCATCACGAGGTCGTGGCCCAACAAAGCCATGTGAATACGGCAGTAAGCCATCTGCACCCGGTTTAGTCCCACCTCGCTCGCTCAGCAGCTAAGAACGTAGCTTAAAAGAACAGGAGAAGTAGCCGGGATTGAACTTCTAAACTATACACTACCTATCTGAATCATCACCTGGGCCAATCGGGCTGGCGCGGCCTGGTTGGGCTCCCTCCGTGGTCGAGCCCGACCTAGCTGGTGCTGGCCCGAGGCAACAAATTTTTTTTGCCACCATTTATTTTTAAATTTATTTTTTTTATTATATGCTGCTAGGGAGGCTATCCAAATTCTTTTTATTGTATTTATTTTTCACCCTCCAAATGCTAAGAGTGATCGGTTCGCTTCCTTTCAGGTTAGGCCTATTGGTCCACTCGGACTAGCCCCGGAGAGTGTAGGTTGAGTTGCTATCGTGCAAGATTAGGAGTCCACTCAGACAAAGCATGAGAGTGATCGCATGTGTTTTCTTATCGTGCTAGCCTATTGGTCCACTCGGACCACACATGAGAGTGGCGGGTTAGTTCTTATCATGTTATGCCTAGTGGTTTATCAGTCTGGCAAGAGATAAGAATGACCGGTTCACTTCATATCATGTTAGGTCTATTAGTACACTTGGAGTACATGTAAGAATTATCGGTTCGCTTCCTTTCAGGTTGGGGCTATTGGTCCACTCGGACTAGCCCCGGAGATTGTAGGTTGAGTTGGTATCGTGCAAGATTAGGAGTCCACTCAGACAAAGCGTGAGAGTGATCGCATGTGTTTTCTTATCATGCTAGCCTATTGGTCCACTTGGACCACACATGAGAGTGGCGGGTTAGTTCCTATCATGTTATGCCTAGTGGTTCATCAGTCTGGCAAGAGATGAGAATGACCGGTTCACATCATATCATGTTAGGTCTATTAGTACACTTGGAGTACATGTAAGAATTATCGGTTCGCTTCCTTTCAGGTTGGGGCTATTGGTCCACTCGGACTAGCCCCGGAGATTGTAGGTTGAGTTGCTATCGTGCAAGATTAGGAGTCCACTCAGACAAAGCATGAGAGTTATCGTGCTAGCCTATTGGTCCACTCGGACGACATATGAGAGTGGCGGGTTAGTTCCTATCATGTTACGGCTAATGGTTCATCACTCTGGCGAGGCATGAGAGTGATCGGTTCACTCCCTACCATGTTAGCTAGACGGTCAGCGTCGATCACGTATCGTGAAGCTGCGAGCAACGCAGAACGTGGAGAATCGTTGTGAATCGCTCGCGTCGTCTACCAGCCATCCGATGCCATTGAGCTATTCTCCCTTGCCGTTGATGCATTCAAGATCCGCTTCACCCAAGCTCCGAATGCTCGAGACCCATGAAAAGGTGACGAAAGCAGCGAAGCGTTGTCCTCCAGACCATGCATCGGTGATGTAAGCTCCTGCAACGACCAGCGGTGGCAACAAACTACTACTCCTTATTAGTGCTAAAGAAAAAAAAAGACGCGTTGACGCGGCGGCGGGCTCGGCCACCACCACATGCACGCCGCTCATGGGCCGCTCGTCTTGGGCCTCCGTCTCCCCTTGCGGGCTTACATGGGCCACGCAGCTTAGCCCGGGTGTTCTTCGTTTGGAAACTCTCGTCTGGAGAACGTGGCCTCCGTAATTGTAGGATCGCAGTTGCTCTTTCCTGTAGGATCGTAGTTGCTCATTCCTGATCGCAGCAACCCTACAACATCCTTCACAAACCACATCCTCTCTCTACTTTCTCATCTCTTTTTTATTGTTTCATCTCGCCGGCAATGGTTCCGGCAGAAGATAGAGGCCAGCCGATAGAGGCCAGCCGACAATCATTTCAATCGTTTCATCTCTTTGGCCCGTGGCAACAATTTTTTTGCCCCCATTTATTTTAAAATAAAAAATTGATTATATATCTGCACTTTTCTTTTCCATTGCTGAAACTTCTGTGTAATCTGCTACTTAGATATCATCTAACTCTCAGACCACTTACAGATATCAGAAAAAGGAGGAAATGATCCAGTAATTCACCAAAAGGTCATGCAGGATAACTGCCCTATTGGGAAGGAAATTGACACCCAATGGTGTTTTGGTAGTCAAAAAGGGTGCACAGGTTTGATAGATACAAAAGACCCAATAACTAATAACTTTTACTTAGTAGCAAACCACAGTTAAATTACAGAGCACCTTCACAAAACATGGTGCTGCGGCAGCAACTATAGCAAGACCCTCACAGGCCCTAGAATTGCTGGCATAACTTTACTGACTAAGTGCCTCTAGGTTCTTGTATGCTTTGAGCTGATTCAAAGCACTATCCAGCAAAACCTTCTTACTACCATTGATCACTCTCATTGACTGTTTGAGCTCACTCTTGGCCACAATCAGCTCGTTTTGCAGTTTCTTGATCTTTAGCTCATCCCTGATCTTCTCGAGGCCCCTGATCTTCTCCTCAATGAAATGTAGGCTCTCATGGTCTGGTTGAACTCCTGATGGTACCAAAGCCCAGGGCATGTCATCTCGTAAAGGTGGAGCAGAGGGTGTAGGGTGCCCACCTTGTGAACTGCTTCCTAGAACCAATATCATTTTCTGCAAACAAGTACATGTGTTAGTTTCTATAGCTTTCAGACATCAGAAACGCCGGATCATTCTTTCACATATGCTTCTCCTTGCAGATTCCCAAGCACATGGCTCTTCAGATATTTTGATCAAACTATTGCTGAAAATTGAGCTGCTGCCCTGTCTAGAAGTGGCCTACCATACTCTTGGTTCTTCTTTCAAATGACTGCAGCCAAGAGCTTGTGCCTTCAAATGAAAGCAGTTACATATCAAGAGTGAGCATTTCAGTACAACCCGGTGATAAGAGAACAGCAGTATATTTGTCAAAAGAAAATGCATATTGCTAATTGAAACTGATGACATTGATAACGCTATTACAGAAATTACTAATGCGTGTACATTTTAAATAGTCCATGTGTATTTGGCTAACAAATAAGTTTAAGTAGCACCAACTATTCGTTGAGTATGATTTAGTTATGGCAGGACGAAACAGAATATCAAGCCAACGATAAAAACGATTTTGGAGGAACTGGATATCAAGGATTCCAAAAACTGCAAGGAGCAAAGGTTCTCACCAGACATTTCCTATAATTGGTTCTTTTCTCAAACAATCCTGCAATTGGTTCTGACAGGGAGATTGATTGTCAATCAGATATAAAATCATCATCAGTATCACATTCCTTAGTTTCACTGCCCTCCCACATACAGTGGAGTCCATCTTGAGGCTTCAACCAGTCCAATTTCGTAATGCTATCCTAACCCTAGAATGGAAAAAGAATGCAGGATAACCAACCTAACAAAAGGTCACAGTGGCATAATCCTTCCTTCGGGCATTTTTCTGTCAACTCGGCCAATTCTTTGGGGTGGCCAGATTATGTGTGTGACCCTCCCCCGCAACAGACCCATAGGAACCTGCAGGTATAAAGTGTTTTGGATGTTTTAGTAACAAGATCACAGATGCCTAGAAACTCGATCTACTACACTATGCAAACAAGTATTTCATAATGAGTGCTGCTGGAGCCTGGGCGCCATTTGCTTCTCTTTAAAGGACAGAAAGATATGAACACCCAGAACCGAAAAAAGCTCAACGAGGCACTGACCTACTCTTTTATACTTGCCCTCCTATGCTATTAGAATTAGAATAAAAGGCTTGCAAGATATCATATCATAATAAACCATGAGGAAACTATCATCAGAGAAAATGAACAGGAGTGGAGATATTGAAGGCTTCAAGCTAGTTTTATCCACCAAACAAACAAGGAATGAAATTGATACTTTGAACTTTTTAATGGGGATACAAATATGAATAATGAAATATCATTGTGTCAATGGCTCGGATGTGCAAAGCATACAGTTAAATTCCTCCAGTGATCAAGATGCCAATTCTAGATGAAGATGCTTTCATCAAGATTAAAAAGATCCCTAGGAATAAACGACTAAAACTATCACTTTGGTAACCAAGTAAGCAACTGGCTTTTATCCTGTAACACAGCTACACAGTCAGGCCTTCCTTTTTGCAATTAACAAGCATTTTATCCTAGGCCAATAACGCAGTTGTGTCCAGTAATGAGATGAATAACTTACAGGGCCATAGGATCTCGAGTCAAAGCTGAGGGCGGCATTGTCCCCTTCAACCCAGAATGGCCCTCCGGGGTCTGCCGGATCTCCTGCTTCTCCGGGATCTGGATCCAATCCCCAGGCAGCGCAATCAGCCTCTTCACCATCAGCTCACGATGGTTCCTTGGCGACCTACGACGAGCAACAGCAGCGACATCAACAACCAACCAATCCAAGAAACTCCCATGGACCCGGAGGCGGGCGGGCAGCGGCGACTTAACTCACCTGAACACGACGACGTCGCCGCGGGAGAAGTCGTAGCGGTAGAGGCAGCGCTTCTCCACCAGAGCGCGCTCGGCCTGCTGCGGGTCGAAGGTGGGGTGCCTGGAGGCGCCGTCCATGCTGACGACGGAGGCGACCCAGTCGGCGACGGTGATGCCGACCACGCTGCCGGTGATGCATCCCTTCACGAGCAAGGCTCTTGCCATGTGCGAAAAGGATCGGGACCTCGACGGGTGGCCTGGGCACCTACGACGCGGAGGCCGGCGAGCGACGGCCTAGCCGTCGAGCGAGGGACTCCTTGATGTGCTTGGCCGGGGACGGCGGCGGAAATGGGCGGCGGAAGAACTGAAGCGGCGTGGACATCGAGGCCGCCGGCATCGGCGTGATGCCGCCGGGGAGCCCGAAAGGGCTCCCGGCCTAGGGGCTGCAGGCCGCCGACGACCGCGCCGGCATCGCCCCGACCCTGCCCCACGCAGCGTACCCGCGGGAGACGGCCGCGCGCTCCGCCTCCCTCCTCTCCCTCCTCCCCCACCCCCTCCTGACGCCGCATCCTCCGACCTGACCCTGAACAACGGCTGATGACAACGACGGCGGCACACAGACGGAGACAGCGGCTAATGAACCCTAATTGCCGGAGACAGCGGCGAATGAACCCTAACGAGACGAAAATATTCATCTTCATCTAACTAATGTAAATCTCAACTATACTACTCAAAACATTATTTTTACATTTATGGATTTACCGTTTTACCCTTAATTAAAAAATAACCACGAAAAAGCAATTGCCACTCTTTTATTTGAAGTCCCAATCCTCTAAACTTTGGAGGCATTTGGAGACGTTCCGACCATATGGGCCCACCGACCACATCTAACGCCTCCCGACGCCTCCCTCATTGACGCCTCTCAACGTCTTCCCTCTTATGGGCCCACCAATCATAGACAAAGCTAACGCTTCCTGACGTCTCCTCAACTATAATAAAAAAGTTCTAAGTTTAATGGTAAAACACTTATTTAACAATAAAATAACAATTGTTCTTACTTCATTAACACTACTGTATTTAATAATAACAATTGGCTAGAACGACATGTGAAGATCATAATCAAAATATCATTTTGTTTAATGGTAAAATATATGCATAATACTTTTTTCTTCAGTTCAAACACACAATGACTAGGGATGGCAACGTGTTTATACCCAAAGGGTATCACCTACCCATGCCGATCAGAATTTTTCGTACCCGCAAGAAACTCATGCCCATATGTGGGTGCAATTTTGTACCCATACCTATGCCCATACGTGTAGCGGGTACTCACGCGTTCTCCGTGTCCGAGAAGAATGTAACACATGTATTAAACTATGAGTCTATGACTATACACGAAATAGACAAATAGTAGAACAACAAATATGTGATAAATGTAATAGAAATATGATCAGTGTCGGAATCCTCAAAGGTCTCGGGGATTCCTACTGATCAGCGTCCAGTCAGAACTATAGCCAAGGTTGGAGGCCTGGTTGGAAAGGTCATTGAGATTGATGAGGAATCCAGATTCAGATATGACTATGTGAGGGCCAGAATTGCTTGTAGAAATGTTGCTAAAGTTCCCAAAACTGCTGAAAGTACACTGGGGATGTACTTAATTGATTTTGGCTTTGAGAGGGAAGTTCTGGTAGAAGGAGCTGAGAAAGTGCTCAAAAGTGGAATCAAGGTCACTGATGAAAACCAACCCCCTGCTAAGAGAACCAAGCCTGATCAGGGACCTGATAAAGATGTCAATGATGGCCAGAATCAGACTGTCACGTCTAAAATGGATAATGCAAAAGCTACTGGTAAACAGAAGGCAATTTACTCAGCCTCACCAAAAGTTGACAGTAGAGGACAATCTCACTCTGGTTTCATGAAGGATGCTCGGAAGGCTTACACAAGATCTGATGCTGATGGAGATGGTGGAAAGGTGCATATCCCCGAGACCTTTGAGGATTCCGACACTGATAGTGACTCATTCTCTCAAAGGCTCAGTCATCTTGCCGGTATGGGAGACTATTCGAAAGATGGACAGGGCGAGTCCTCCAAACAGCTTTGGTTTGTGAGGAATGTGGCTCCTGAAGTGAATGCCAAAGAAGTTACCTGTGCGCTGGGAGGGAAAGAAGGTGATCCTGTTCTCACTAGTGATACTTCTCATATGATCTCTCAGTCCCCTGAAGTTTTTATTACTGAAGACAACATCATCAATACTCAAGGTAGTACTGAAATGGACATTGATGAACCTGTGAAGGTTGCTGACCATTCTATCATTGATCCCAACAATACTGCCTCTGAGTTGGGCCGTGAGAAGCTGGAGCTCCCTCCTGAACATGAAAGAAGGAGAAGTGATAGACTGAAGAAGACTGCTACCATGTCTACTATGGAGAAGAATCAGATGATGGCACAAAAAAGGAATCTCGAAGGTAACCCTTCAACGAAATATAATTCTTTCTCTGTTTTACCTATTGAAGAACTTGTTCATGTTACTGCTGATATGGGGGTAGCCCTGGATGAAAATGATTTTGATATGTTTAATTTACTTAAAGATCTTGAAAAAGCTAGAAGTGATTTGTATAAAAAACAAACTGAAAAACTGTCAGAATCTCAAACTGAATCAGTTGAGATTATGCAAACTGACAAAAACACTCTAGCTTTGGAGTGGATGCAAGATGAGTCCTCTGAAGATGACTTCATTCTTGTTGAATCCAGGAAAAAGAAAAGAGAAAATAGGAAAAAAATGTTAATTTCCCCCACTTTCAAGGGGAAGAAACCAGACCAGGAAAATCCTGGCTTGCACAAAGTTAGAGGTAGAAGGCCTAAAGCTAACTCCTCTATAACATCAAAAACAAAGAATCATAAATGACGATCCATGGACTGATCTGGAACTGTAGAGGTCTCAGGAAGAAGGGCGTTACCACTTTTCTCAAAGATCTTATTCGTCAATATTCTTTCCACTTCATTGGCCTGCAAGAGACTATGGTCAAGGACTGTGAAGATAGTCCTCTAAGAAAATTTGATCCTCATCAAGAGTATCTCTGGATATACAATTCTGCCAAAGGAAAATCTGGGGGTATTTTGGTGGGTGTCCGGTTAGAGTTCTTTGATGTTGGGTCTTTTAAACAAGGGGAATTTATGCTGCAAGTGAATCTTTGGGACAAAATGAACAAGTTAAAATGGAACTTAATCGTTGTGTATGGGGCTGCACATGATGATCAGAAATTACAATTCCTTGCTGAATTATCTTCCTTCTGCTCTAACAACACTGATCCCATCTTAATTGGTGGTGATTCCAACATTATTAGATATGCAAATGAAAGAAACAGACATTGTGGGATACCTCTTCAATACTCTCATCGATTTTCATGAGCTTAGGGAAAAAGAGATGACTGGTGGAATGTACACATGGTCCAATAATCAAGAAGTCCCTATTCTGGATAAGCTTGACCGGATACTGATGTCCAAAGATTGGGAGGATTTATTCCCCCAAGTTTGGGTCAGGAAACTTCCCAGGGAAGTATCTGAGCACAACCCCCTAATTTTAGCCTCTGGACAGCATAGGAACACCAAATCAATCCAATTCAGATTTGAGTTGAGCTGGCTTTCTAATCCTGATTTTATCACTGCTGCTGAGAAAATTTGGTTGAAGCCATGTAAAGCTACATCTGCCTTAGACAAAATTCAGCAAAAATTGAAGTTACTGAAGCAGTACTTCAAAGGATGGGGTCTCAATCTTCAGGGTGATTTGAGAAAACAAAGGAAAACTGTCAGTGAAAAGATTAGTGAGCTGGAATCAATTGAGGAAATGGATGGCTAAAATAATCAGCAAATGTCTAGAAAATCATGGCTACTTAAAGAAAATCTGAGACTACTTGATCAATAGGAAACTTATTGGCACAATAGGTGCCATGAGGAGTGGTTATTAAAAAGGAGATAACAACACTAAATATTTCCACAGAATTGCCAATGGCAGGAAAAGAAAGAACACCATCATTTCACTTGAACATGAAGGTAATATCATCGAAGGAGATGAGAACCTGTTGAAACAAGCCTCAGAATATTATGCAGAGCTCTTTCGACCTGGGGAGGAACATGATATCCATTTGGATAATTCTCTCTGGGCTGATCTGGAACAAGTTACTGAATTGGATGATTCTCTGCTATGTGCACCTTTTTCTGAAGAAGAAGTAAAAGAAGTTCTTTTTCAGATGGAAAAAAACAAAGCAGCAGGCCCTGACAAAATTCCTATAGAATTCTATCAAACATGTTGGGGGTTTATCAAGGATGATATTATGCAACTTTTCCATGATTTTCATGAAGACAATGCTGATATCAGTAGGCTAAATTATGGTATTATTACCTTGCTCCCTAAGGTCCATGATGCTAGTAAAATTCAGCAATTCAGACCTATTTGACTACTTAATTGTCTCTACAAATTGATGACCAAAACATTAACTATCAGAATGGAGAAGGTGGCTGAGAAGCTAATACATGCCAATCAAACTGCCTTCATGAAAGGAAGGAACATTATGAGTGGAATTATGGACTTACATGAAATTTTACATGAGACCAAGAGAAAAAAACAAGTTGGGATCATTTTGAAATTAGACTTTGAGAAGGCATATGACAAAGTCAAATGGGGTTTTCTCTTTGAATGCTTAGCAGCTAGAGGTTTCTGTGAGAAATGGTGCAGCTGGCTTAAGCAAGTTGTGACTGGGGGCACTATTAGTGTGAAACTCAATAACAATACTGGACCTTATATAAAGAGTCACAAAGGGGTGAGACAGGGTGATCCCCTTTCCCCGATTATGTTTAATTTTGTTGCTGATGGACTTACTAGGATGGTCCACAAAGCTCAGGCTAATGGACAATTTAGTGGCTTGATTGATCATATTGTGGAGTTGCTATCCTCCAATATGCCGATGATGCAATCATTTGCTTGAAACATGATACTAATGGTGCTAGGAATCTAAAGCTTTTGTTGTATCTATATGAATTGATGGCAGGGCTTAAAATCAATTTTCACAAAAGTGAAATTCTAACAATCAATGACGAAGAGAACTGGGCTGAATTTTATGCTGAGATCTTTAACTGCCAGATTGGAACTTTTCCATTGAAATATCTTGGAGTGCCAGTTAGTCCTAGCAGGCTTCATGTCTGCGATTGGTTGCCCTTGGTTGAAAAAA